GGCGGGAAGAGCAGCGGGCTCCCACCTCCCGTCTCCTCGGAGGGGCTCTGTGGAGCTGCAGGTCCTGGGTGGAGTGGAGGCCTGCTCAGCAGGTGGGGGCTGGGGGCTAAGACAACTGTCGCGTGCCCCCCCCCACCCCCCCCCGCGCAAAGTCAACACGGCTCCCCACCAGCGCTCTCCTGGGCAATCAGAGCCGTCCTCAGAGCTGGAGTCTCAATGTAGGCGGGGGAGGGCGTGGGAGGACAAGCCCACGTGGGGGTCCGCAGGTCCGGGGGCGGTGCCACACCGGGGCAAGTAGCCCGGGGCCCCTCAGCATGAGGTCAGGGCTGGGGTTTATTCCGTCCCAGGAGCCCTGGGGGGCCGGGGAGGTCTCCACTCCCACTCAGGATCCGCAGTTCCACAGAGAGCCACCAGGCGGCAGGGCTGAGTGTGCGGAGCTGCTCAGAGTCCTTCCTCCGCCCTCACCCTGCCCTCACCCTGCGGGTCATCCAGGGCCTCAGAACCTGGGCATCTCGGGGTTCCCCTCCAGCCACTAGGGTTCCCGGAGCTGACGTGCCTGGCAGGTGGGGGGCGCAGATGAGGACGTTCCTTACACTGCTGTCCCCTCGCTGGGGCCGGGATGCCCCCTTCCACCTCCCAGGTCAGGCTCCTCCTCCCCTGAGCTCCCTGCCCACAGCCTTCAGGTCACCCGGGCACACGACCCCATGGGGACTTATCCAGGGACTGTGCACTCATTGGTCTGCCTTTCCTGGCGGGCGAGAGCCTGAGGGTGGGGCTTGGTCTCGACTGAACCCCCAGGACCAGGACCAGGACCAGGACCAGGACCAGGCACAGGCGCACAGTAGGTGCTCAGTTTCCATTGATGAGTAAACCCGTGGGCTGTCCCTTAAAGGAGCAATAAGCTGGTTTCTGTGGTCATGCCAGGCAGCCCAGGACGCCAGCGCACCCACCCCCAGCCCCACTCCTCCCCTGGGACTCCCCTGGTGAGCCTGGGTTTCTGGGGCTCGGGTACGTGCTGTACACTCTGCCGGGCAACTCCTGACCCCCAGGACTGAGCAGGGATCTGACTCCTCGGGGACAGAGGACGCCGCTGGGCTCTCAGGGGAGCGGCACACACCACTACGGTGTCTGCCCACTGGCCCCCCTCAGCCCTTGAAGAAGGGACCCCAGGTGACCCCTCTCAGAGTGACCAGGGCCAGGCACACGGCCCGGGCCTGGGCAGAGGTGGGTGGGCCCAGCGGTCACCTGCGCCCGCCCAAGGCCCCAGCGACCCCTACCCAGGATGCAGGAGTGTGTGAAGGAGCCCTCGCTGGAGTAGAGGCCATAGGTGCCCAGGTAGGGCGACACCACCTTCTGGACCAGCGTCTCCAGGCGCAGGTAGTCCTTGGTCACGCCGCGGGACTCGTGCACACCCTGCGAGAGGGAGGGGCGGAGGGTCACCCACAGCAGGCCCAGCCGCTCACCCCGGGCTCGGCTCACAGCCCTCCAACACCCTGTCCTCCTCCCAGCCCCTCGAGCTGCAGCCTCAGGCTCTGTCCTGCTCTGAGCCCCTCTGCTCTGTCCCCAGCAGCTGTGGGTCTGGGCGGCCATGGTGCCCGGGGGAAAAGGACCCTGTGGCCGCGTGCAGGTGGGCATCCTGTAGTCCGCCCCTTCGAGGATCCCCCTCGCGGCTCCCTGGAGGCTCTGGACGTCCTGCAGGGGCAAGCTCATTCCCCCGGCCCGTCCTCACTGCCCGCCGTGGAGCGCTGCAGGCGGGAAAGGCTGCCCCGTGGGCCAGGCCTGGTCCACATCCAAGGCCCGTCCACCGGACTGCTGCCCGCCCCCCCTCGTACCCCCCCTGTTCCCCCTGAGGGGTCTCAGCCAGCGCCTTCCTGGCCCCTCCTGGAATCTCCTCCTCCGGTTTCATCCGAGCCAAAGCCTGAGGATGAGGCTGTGCACAGGATGGCCTGGGGCTTGCTGATCAGGGGCAAGCTCAGTGTCCCCAGGACCCCCGCAGGGGCCGGCACTCAGCTGGCGTGTAGTGCTTTCTGAGTGAATGATATATGAATGAATGGATGGATGGATGGATGGGTGAATGGCTGAATGAATGAGTGAATGACATCACTCCTCAGGGCTGTCAGTCAGTAAGGAACAAGATACACTCAGGGTGACGGTCAGTGACAGTCCAAGACAGCATGAGAACCCCACTCTGCTGCCCTCAGGAAACACTCACACTACAGAGACACGCGTGGATGAACAGGGAGGGAGGACGCTGTGCTGGCGACCACCGACGGGAAGAAAGCAGGGGGAGCTGTGTCAGTTTCAGACAGGGAGACTCCAGACCAAGGCACGTGACAGGGAGAAGAAGGTCCGTACATACGGCAAAGGGGCCAGTCCTCTCAGACGCCATACAACCGTCACGCACACGCGCCTGACAGCGGAGCAGCAAACGACGGAGGGAAAAGCTAACGGAAGTGCAGGGAGAAACGCGAATCTGCCCTCACAGCTGGAGACGCCGCCCCCCTCCCAGACACACGGTCCTGCCGCAGGAATCACGGACACAGCTGACCTGACGCCGCCAGCAACCCGCCGGGCGTAACTGGCATCCGTACCCCAGCTCCTCCAGGAGGGACAAGACACATCCTTCTCCAGCCCCTGGAGCATTCGCCAAACAGACCCCACCCCGGACCAGAAAACACATCTTAGCACATTTTAAAAAGTAAGCATACAACGTCTGCCCTCAGGTCCCCGTGAAATGTAACCAGGAATCAGTAAGAGAAAGAGACCTGGGAAAATCCCCAAATACATGGAGACCAAACAACTCACTTGTAAATCATACCCGAGTCAAAGACGAAATCTCAGGAAATATTTCAAAAGATTTTGAACTAAATGTAGCTACAACATCCAAATCGGTGAAATGCATCAAAAACAGTGTTTAGAGGGAAATTTATAGCCCTGAGTGGGCAGATTAGAAAAGCGGGAGGTCCAAAATCAATCACCAGCTTCCACAAGGACGAGCGAATGAAGTCTGACGTGAGCAGAAGAAAAAACGTAACCATTAGAGCAGAAATCAGTGAAACCGAAAACGGGATCAGCAGAGAAAAATCAACAAGATCGAAAGCTGGTCCTTTGAAAAGGTCAATACGTTTAACAACCCCCTCGCCAGGCTACAAAGACAGACACAGCCCCTAGATCAGAAATGAAAAAGGACTTCACTACAGACCCAGAGACCCAGCTGTGCTTGGACGAGGAGGGGGTGGGATTCATTGGGTGGCCCGTCCGTCCATCATCCGGATGAACGTAAAGGACCCCCGACTTCCCTGGTCCTGTCTCCATCCCCAGCAGCAGTGCCGGGACCGAGTATGACATCACCGAGCTGTGCCGGACTTTTCATGAACTTTATGTCATTTCATTTCCAGAACTTGTTTCTGGAGTCCGCCCTCTGCTCCCATTGCAGAGAGGAAATGGGGGGCCAGGGGCTGCACGCTTTGTGTGCACTCAGAGGCAGGGCTGCTCCCTGGCTTATGGGATCCCCTGAGAAGGAACCGTGACTCTGCGGGTGAAGCACAGGCCGCACAGTAGGTCCTCAACACACGCTGACCGGCAGCTGTGACTTCAGATCCATCTGGAACTTGAAAGCAGTGGGGACAAGTTCACTGGGACAAGGTCATTCAAAGTGTGGGCCAAGTGGGGGGCGGGGCAGCGGCAGAACCTTGTGGTTTAGGGAGGCACCCACAAGGAGCAGGAAGGACAGCCTGGGGGCCAGGGGGCCAAGCCCAGAAAGCGGCATGAGGCACGGTGGCCACCAGGGGGCAGTACCACCCAGCTGGCCGCCCACAGGATGGGGTTCCTGGGATCAAGGGGGACCTTATTCCTTGGCTCTAAATCCCCTGCTCCCAGGGGCATATTGGGGGCTCTCCATCCAATGTCTCCCCGTTACCCCTGAACCTGCCTGCCAACGGGCGGCCTCACTCCATCACACGACGAGAAAAGCGGCTCGAGAGACAAAGTCCCGCCGAGGCCCCCAGCTTCAACCCGGCCAGGTCTGACCTCACACCCGCAAAATCCCGCTTGGCCGGCCTGCTGCCCCTGGAGCTGCCGGGCCCCTCAGCTGCCGGCAG